TCACAGGAAGATTATCCCATCCAGATTATTTCACCTTGAGATTAACTACCCTGAAGCCAACCTAACCTAAGATGATATAAGCTAACCTAACTTAACCTGACCTAGCCTAACCTAACCATATACTGTCAATTAAAAGAGTGACCCCACGGACCCCTACACAACCCTGGGGTCCGCGCTGGTACAGTGGCCCCACGGACCCTTACACAACCCTGGGGTCCTCGCCGGTACAGAGTGACCCCACGGACCCCGACACACCCCGGGGTCCGCACTGGTCCAGGCCAATCGAGCGTGCAAGATTGTGTCATTTTCCTATATTTACCCTCACGTAATCACCCGGAAACTATGTACACACACAAAGACCCGGGCAGAGGCACCAACACCACCAGTACCACCAATGTTGCCACCACTGCCACCACCACCACCAGCCCTATCACCACTACCACCACCGTTACTTCTACCGCTGCCACCAACCGCTGCTACCAATACCGCTGACACTACCACCACCCCTGCCACCACCACCGCCTCCACGTTAAATACATATAAGCCAAAGCTTCCATCATAGGTCCTGGCAGCCATGATATACACGGATAATCTATATCACGGGAAACTGGAAAGGGAAGGGGGAGGAGAGAGGGAGGGAAGAGGGGGGAGAAAGAGAAGAGGGAAGAAGAGAGGAAGAGAGGAGAAGAGAGGGAAGAGAATTTACGTTAGGTTATATTAGGTAAAATTAACGTTACTGTATTTAAATCAGGTGAAGAAAGCAGGCGACTAATTATACCGTAAGTCGTCCCCCCACACACAATACCTCATCCAACTCATATTGCAATATACACACAAATTCTCTCTCTCTCTCTCTCTCTCTCTCTCTCTCTCTCTCTCTCTCTCTCTCTCTCTTGGCATAACTCATTAAGTTTTCTACAGCAGTGCCTAAATGAGTGCCGTCGTCAGCCAGTGACACCATCAATCAGTACAGGGAACAGGGAGGGGTGCCACGGTAACAGTGCCATCACCCTTACGCCGATTAGTGCCAGCCAAGGGTGAGCCATCTGCCCCCCTCCCTCCTCCCTGATGGATGGGGTGGGGTGGGGAGGGTAGGGGTCTCTATACGCCCCGGGTGACAGCTGGAGCGGGTGAGTGGGATGGGTAAGTGGGTGGGGGGGTGTGTAAGTGGGTGGGGGTGTGTGTGGTGAGGGTTGAGTGGGTGGGGTGTGTAAGTGGGTGGGGTGTGTGGTGGGGGGTGTGAGTGGGTGGGGGTGTGTAGTGTGGGGTGTGTAAGTGGGTGGGGTGTAAGTGGGTGGGGTGTGTGAGGTGGGTGGGGTGTGTGAGTGGGTGGGGTGTGTGAGTGGGTGGGGTGTGTAAAGTGGGTGGAGGTGTGTGAAGTGTGGAGGTGTGTAAAGTGGGTGGAGGTGTGTAAAGTGGTGGATGTGTGGGTGGGTGGGTGGATATGTGTGGGTGGTGGGGCGTGTAAAGTGGGGGGTGGGTGTGTAAAGTGGGTGGCGGGTGTGTAAGTGGGTGGGTTAAGTGGGTGGGTAAGTGAAAAAATGAAACTACAGTTCTAATTAAAATGAGTAAAGACAAAAGAAATCTGTCTGTCTGTGTCTGTCTGTCTGTCTGTCTGTCTGTCTCCTTTCCACCAGTCGACAAGTTTAGGAAAAAAAATCATAGCACTCATCAAAATAAACAAACACAATAAAATAAATAACGGCATTAAAAAGAAATGCCTGAGAATTAGCACGAGGCACCCAAGTCGGGTTTATTTATTTATTTTTATTTTTATATTTTAGTTAAAAAAAACGGTCTTTATTCTTACTTTCCGCCTGGTAATGTTTTTTTTTTCCCTCGTATGAACTGCCAGGAACAAAAAGGTCTTACTATTTGCTAACTCACTATAAAAACTACAGCTATAAATAACAAAAAGAAAATCCTAATAAATTTTTTTCCTAATGATTTTCAAATATACCGAAGTTGTCTAGATCCATCATTTGTGTTTCCTTCAGTGATTTTTCTTCTCAGGTGTGTGGTTACCATGGGAACTAATAAATGATCCATCTCATTAAAGGTAGGAGGACAGATGGTATTGTTGGCAACACTCTCTCTCTCTCTCTCTCTCTCTCTCTCTCTCTCTCTCTCTCTCTCTCTCTCTCCTTCCTTCCTTCCGAGACAACAACTCTCACAGGAAGTCCCTCACTCTACAAAACTCCTTACCTATAATCTCCCATATCTCCCTGAGGACGACACATAACTCTACACAGGTAACTCTACACAGGTAACCACCGGATGCCTGGGAGAGCTTAAGCTAAGGACCTCCCTAGGTTGTCAACTTTGTACGGTGGGTGAGAGTCCTGAGGGCGTGTCGGTCTGTGCTGTGGGCGGTGTGTTATGGGTGTGTTCTTCCTGTGTTGGGGGGTACACATACATACATACATACATACATACATACATACATACATGAGAGAGAGCATCACTGGTAATTTGAAACGTTGAATAATTTAAATTCCTCGACCACAATAAATATGTCAGTCACAAAATCCACTAACAATGTGACGCAAATAAATTTATATATAAAAAAATCATAAAAATATTAAAAAAAAAACATTAAATTCCATTAAAATTCTCAGCCATTATAGAAATTTAAGTAAACTTGAATGGGTGTATTCATTCCTAATATGGTGGTGTTACCTGGCCCACCTGTACGGTACCTATATCACCTGTATCAACACCGATATACACACATACACATTATATAAGTGTGTGTGTGTGTGTGTGTGTGTGTAGAAGACTATCCCGCTCATTAAAACACACACACATTAACGAACGAATTCACTAATTAAAAAACTTCCACAATAAAGAACGTATTCGCTAATTACATAAACACACACACACACACACACACATATCCACGAATATATTCACCAATTAATCTTTTTTTACGTGAGCACAATCAAAATTAATACCGAAAAATAGTGTTGTGGGTCTGACCAACACGACCACGTGATCAGGGACGCGAGTGGTACCTGAATCATTCTCGTATGTCAGGAATTAGTTATCATGAACCCTAAACTGACCTGAATAAACCTATGTCTGGCGTAATTCACCCCTAACCTACCCTAACCTAAACCTAACCTAGCCTCACACACATACAAGAGAGATATACAACGCCAAAAAGGTATCGTGATCACAACCCAAGCCACTACGACCATAACTAATGTGTCTCGACGTTCATCCATCATCGGCAACACCTCGTGGGTCCTCGAGGCCAATATTGAACACTGAGAAATATTTGAACATTTAAAACGAGACTCGTTTCTCTGTGATGAACCTCTAGGAACTTTGTGTGGATATTGATGTGGGTAATACAAATATGTACTGTGTGTGTGTGTGTGTGTGTGTGTGCTGTGAAGGTTCTATCAGTCCTCAAGCCTCCAATAAAGGCGACATTATTATCATACACACTTCAAGGTCCTACTCGAGAAAGGTAAGTCCCTCCGAGGCATCTCTCCTACCAATGACACTTGAAGGTTCTACTTGAGAATAACACAGGTGCCCCCCACCCCTATAACCAATCAAACCTCCTCGAGAAGAACTCCACTCCTTATCCTCCAACACTTTAAGGTGCTACTCGAGCATAACACGAGACATATCACCGACCGACACACACACACACTTAATATTCCACCAAGTTATCACTTCCCAATACTGTAGACAGCTTAGTAGTAAAGGCATATATGAAGTTCACGGTGGAAGGGATAAATTATTCAGGGGTACACTTGAGGACCCATCAGAGAGGTACAAGTATTGGCAGCCGCCCTCACCCGACCAACACAACCTGCTTACCCCCGCCCCCACCCCCACCCCACGTATGGGTAATCAATCACTGTTTTTCATCGTGTGTGTGTGTGTGTGTGTGTGTTACAATATTTACATGTGTACGGTCATTAAGATTCTTACTTTCGATTAATCAGTTCACCTTTTTTGTTGCAGCTCAGAAGATCAGAATCAGCGTATCTTTAATATATACCTACAACTAACACACCACCAATCTTCTCACTTAACCTAAACTAACGGATTAAATAACCTAACCTCACCGCACCTAACCTCACCGCACCGCACCTCACCTCACCTCACCTCACCTCACCAAACCCATCATGAAAAAGAGAAAACGTGGAGTCTATGAGGACGATTGAGGGAGGACTAAAATAGATTAAAATATGTAAATAAACACAAGTATATCATAACAATTTATCTCCGTCACTCTTATAAATATGGAAAGCTGTGTCTCGAGCCCTGGTTTTCAAGCTCAATGTCGACAATAAGTCCCAAACCGCCATGACCTGCAGTTGCCTCGTGCATTACCCACGACACACACACACACACAAAATATATACGTACACAAATAATTCCTTCAGTAAAATGTGTACAGGCAATACTGGATGAACCAACGTACACTCATAATACTTACATGTGATCAATGTGTATATATAATATTCGCATACAATATGAACTCGTGTACACTCATAGTACCTACATAAAATAAACATGTGTACATTAATATACGGGATAAATACGTACACGTATAATATATTTACTGAACACAAAATATCTACACGATACATGCATGTGCACGCCACTACGTACACATGATGAATGAACATACCCCAATACGTACACAGTATATTCATGTGCACACCAGTACGTACACAGAATAAACTTACCTCCTCTTCCTCCTCAAATATAATAAAAATAAAAGATTACCTGAAGATTAGACACCACAGTTTAATTCACCTGAATATAAATACCTTAACACTACCTGGGGGGTTAGGTTAGATTTAGTTGGTTTAGATTAAATTTGGTTGATTTGGGTTAAGTTCGACTGGATTAATTTGGGTTGCATTAGATCAAATTAGCTTAGATTAGCGTATTTAATCAGGTGAAATAAACTGCAGTACCCAATTTTCAGGTAATCTACATCTAATATAACATAAAGGTGTGTACATATTCACCTGGCTGATCCATATCCTTAATTAGCCGGCCAGGTGAGGTCTTACAACGTCCACATACCTGCGGGGAGAATAAAGTTGTGTGTTAAGACGATTTCAGTTATAGGCATCCATGTTTTTTTATTCAATTAGATGTTTAACCAATGATATTTCTCGTGACAAAAATACGGTGGCACCTCCAAAATCCCGCCGGTGCTTCCAAAAATTCCAATGGGACATCTAAAATTCCATTGGCACCTCCAAAAATTTCACTGGTGCTTCCAAAAATCCAGTGGTACATCTAAAATTCCATTGGTACCTCCGAACATTCCACTGGTACCTTCAAAATCCTAGTGGTACCTCCAAAAATTCAACTGGTACCTCCAAAAATTCAACTGGTACATCCAAAATTCCATTGGTTCCTTTAAAAATTCCAGTGGTACATTCAAAATCCTAGTGGCACCTACAAAAAAACACTGGTACCTCCAAAACCCCTTACCACCACCACCTCCACACACTACCACAATCACCACTACCTCCACACACTGCCACAATCACCACCACACACTGCCACAATCACCACCACACACTGCCACAATCACCACCACCACACACTACCACATGCACCACTACCTCCACAATACCACAATCACCACTACCTCACACACTGTCACAATCACAAATCTACACACTCTCCATAATCACCACCATCACACTACCACAATCACCACCACCACCACACAATACCACAATCACCACCACCACACAATACCACAATCACCACCGTCTCCACACACTACCATAATCACCACCACCTCCACACACACACTACACAATCACCACCACCTCCACACTATCACCACCACCTCCACACACTACCACAATCACCACCACCTCCACACACTACACAATCACCCACCACCTCCACACACTACCCACAATCACCACCACCTCCACACTACACAATCACACCACCTCTACACACTACCACAATCACCACCACCACACAATACAATCACCACACCACCTCCCCCATCGTCAGCATCAGGTTTACCACTTGTCACAAAGGCACTGAAAAAATACCTACACTACAAGAGACTGTCTACCTTACCTGTGTTTCTTCTCCCCACCCTCTCCCCACCCTTCTCCCCACCCCCACTTTTCTATTCTCCTTTGTATACCCTCTCCCCCTCCCCATCCTTCTTCCTCCTCTCCCTCCCCATCCTAAGGTCTCTTTCCACCCCTATATCTACCCTCTTCCTCTCCCCACCTCCCCTCCCCAGTCTCTTTCCACCCCTTCTTCCTTGCCATGCTGTCCCTCTCCGCCCTTCTTTCCTCCTCTCCCCTCCCTCCATCCCTTTTTTCCTTCTATTTCTCCTTCTTTTCCCTCTCTCAGCCCATCCCCTCCTTCATCTCCTCGACTGTCCTTCCCGTCTCTATCATCTGCCCCTCCTCCTTCTACCTTTTCTACTCTCCTCTTCCCCCTCCTCCTCCCTTCCTCGTCTCATCCTTCTCCATCTCCTGCCGTTAACTCATCTATCCTACCATAAATCCTCCTTATCCTTCCTCTATCTACCTCTCCTCCCTCCCTCCATCCTTCCTCCTTCCCTCCACTAAACGGCCATCGAGAATCGCTAACAGCCCACTACCGCCACCGCCCACACGGTAAACACAGCTGATGGGGGAGAGAGGGGTAGGGGAGGTGGAAGAGGGGTAGGGGAGGTGGAAGAGGGGTAGGGGAGGTGGAAAAGAGGGGAGGTAGGAAGAGAGAGGGAGGAGAGAGAGAGAGAGAGAGAGAGAGAGAGAGAGAGAGAGAGAGACGAAGGTTGGGATCACAGGTGTAGAGCTCAACAACTTTTCGTTCAATCGTCTCCTGTATGTTTCAGGGTAGAGGGAGTGACGGGTTGTAACTTGTGGTCCAGCGGCTCCCAACACCTGTCCTCTCAACACCTGTCCTCCCCAACACCTGTCCTCTCCAACACCTGTCCTCCCCAACACCTGTCCCCTCAAGATATTAGGATAAGGGATAAAAATCTTGGGGCGGGAGAGAAACATTTTACTATTGTTTTAAAAGAAGGATTTGAGGTGGCTCATGGTGGGCGCCTCTCCCCTCCCCTCTCAGACCCTCTCCATCCCCTCCCCCTCTCAGTCCCTCTCCACCCCCTCCCCCTCTCACCCCCTCTCACCCCCTCCATCCCTCCCCTCTCAGACCCTCTCTATCCCTCCTCTCAGACCCTCTCCATCCCTCCTCTCAGACCCTCCATCCCTCTCAGACCCTCTCCATCCCCTCCCCCTCTCAGTCCCTCTCCACCCCCTCCCCCTCTCACCCCCTCCCATAAAGCCACAGATAGAACACTTCTCATCTCTACTCTTAAAGAATATAAAACTTTTGATAAATAAACCGCAAGAGACATAAACCAGACCACAAAGTTTATGCTAAGACTGCGGGTTACGTTGGGTTTAGGTTAGGGTTAGGTTAGGTTTACTATAGGAGTTAGGTTGGATTAGTTAGGTTAGGTTAATGAGACTGTCCCAGCTATCAACATTGGCAACAATGATACAAATCCCAATTGGCAACACTGACTCAAATTTCCAAATAACAGGAAAGGGAAAGGAAGGAAGGGGAGGGAGGAAGGGGGAGGAAACGGGGGGAGGGGAGAGCGAGCGAGAGAGAGAGAGAGAGAGAGAGAGAGTAAGTAATGGTTCAAGGAGGACAAGAGGAGAAGGAGGAGGCGGCACAATGCAGGTAATATATCACCATTACTTACTGTGTGTGTGTGTGTGTGTGTGTGTGGTGTGTGTGGGTGTGTGTGTGGGTGTGTGTGTGTGTGTGTGTGTGTGTACTCGCGAGTATGAATGTGTAAATAAAACCACAAACAAATTTCCAGAAATAAACAAAAGGCAAAACAAAAAAAAGAAAATCATATACATTAAAACCTCGATATAACGGACTTCCATCTCTACATAGTCCGTTTAATAGAGGTTTCACATCTAACGGAGCCTCGATATAACACAAATAGAATCACCACTACTAGCACCATAACACAAATAGAATCACCACTACTAGCACCATAACACAAATAGAATCACCACTACTAGCGCCATAACACAAATAGAATCACCACTACTAGCACCATAACACAAATAGAATCACCACTACTAGCACCATAACACAAACAGAATCACCACTACTAGCACCATACCACAAATAGAATCACCACTACTAGCACCATAACACAAACAGAATCACCACTACTAGCACCATAACACAAAACAGAATCCTCTCACCACCACTAGCACCACATAACACAAACAGAATCACCACTACTAGCACCATAACACAAATAGAATCACCACTACTAGCGCCATAACACAAACAGAATCACCACTACTAGCACCATAACACAAACAGGAATCACCAATTACTAGCACCATAACACAAATAGAATCACCACTACTAGCACCATAACACAAATAGAATCACCACTACTAGCACCATACCACAAATAGAATCACCACTACTAGCACCATAACACAAATAGAATCACCACTACTAGCGCCATAACACAAACAGAATCACCACTACTAGCACCATAACACAAACAGAATCACCACTACTAGCACCATAACACAAATAGAATCACCACTACTAGCACCATACCCCAGCACAAATAATCACTAGGAGAAATAAACCGGCAAATTCTTTTAATCGTCCAGCGAGCAAACTTCAAAGTCGTACACACATTAATATACCGGCAACATGTAGTACAGTAAATGGCTTCATAATGAGTTCGAGTCCATTAATAATTATATAAACTCTACCGAGCTAATGACATCACAATTAGTATGACTGGCTACACACGCTGTGATCTGTGTGTGTGTGTGTGTGTGTGTGTGAGTGAGAATGTGTGTGTGTGTGTGTGTGTGTGTGTGTGTGAGTGAGAATGTGTGTGTGTGTGTGTGTGTGTAATAACTAAAAAACAACAACAACAACATCACAGGTCAGGTAAGGTCAGGTCAGGTAAGGTGAGGTAAGGTAAGGTAAGGTAAGGTCAGGTCAGGTAAGGTCAGGTAAGGTAAGGTCAGGTAAGGTAAGGTCAGGTCAGGTCAGGTAAGGTCAGGTACATGACAATAAATATATTATTACAATTTCTTCGTCTATGAAAGTCAGGTCATTGGTAAAAAACAAAAACAGCTTAGGTAAAGAGGTCAGGTAAGGCAAAAAAAAAGGTCAGGTCAAATAAAGGTGAGGTCATAGGTCAACAAAAGAGGGGAGACACACCATAATTACATTAGTTAAAGCAGAAGAAAAAAATGAGGCAAAACGGTAGGAGGGAAGGACATGAGAAACGGGATAATGACGAGAGAGAGAGAGGGAGAGAAGGGGAAGAGGGTACATAATGAGAGAGAGAGAGAGAGAGAGAGAGAGAGAGAGAGAGAATGGCCGTCGGAAGGAAGATGATCACTAGGACGAGAGAGGAAGGGAAGGGGACAGTGATGAATGAGAGAGAGAGAGAGAGAGAGAGAAGCCAAAGCGGAGGCGACATAAGACATAATGAGATAAAAGGATAAAGGGGAAGGATGGCGATGAATGGGGGAAGATGTATAATGGAAGAAAGAAGGTGGAAGGGAAGCAAGAAGGATTAAGAATTCTCGCTCTGTAAATATGTATAAAAAAAAGCTCTCACAACCCTGACACTAATTCACAACCCCTACACTAATTCACAACCTCTACACCAATTCACAACCTTTACATTAATTCACAACCCCTACACCAATTCACAACCCCTACACCAATTCACAACCTCTACATTAATTCACAACCTCTACACCAATTCACAACCCCTACACCAATTCACAACCCCTACACTAATTCACAACCCCTACATTAATTCACAACCCCTACACCAATTCACAACCTCTACACTAATTCACAACCTCCAATTCACAACCTCTACACTAATTCACAACCTCTACATTAATTCACAACCTCTACATTAATTCACAACCCCTACACCAATTCACAACCTCTACACTAATTCACAACCTCTACATTAATTCACAACCTCTACATTAATTCAC